ATTAACACTAACCGTACCGGTCGCGTTGCCTTGTAAATTACAGTATTGAATTTACTTAAACATTTCCAAATTTTTATATTCATACATGTTCGGACCGGTGGACGATGTCTTTATAATTTCAACGATTGTAGAATAAGAATTGTCGAACCGGCCGTTCGATCGGCAACACAGTACGGTTGTTGTTTAACCCCTTAATGCACAATTTAAAAAAAAAAAACCGACCAAAAAAAATCAATTTTTTTTATCTAAGAAAATACATATTTGGACCTTAATTTCAATAAATATGTAAAAAAAATGCAAAAATTACTAAAAATTCAATAAAAATAGTGGATAAATAATTATAGTGAATATTGAATCGCATTGCAGATCGAATTTTGTACCCATCGTACTGTTTTTCAATTAATATAGGTAACATAACATAAGTTGCGACGCCGACCGTATATATACGGGTCTGCACATTTTGGCCGGTTTTGCACGCCCGTGTTAATACGTTTCTGCGCGTTAAGNTGCAGAAAGATCGCCTCGATGCAAAATAATTAGGAGAATTCATTTTCTGGAACGTGATACACGTGAGAAAATGTAAAGCTGTTCTCAACGGATCCGGGAACGAACGAACGGTGTCGCTTAATTATTATTTCTCTGCTAAACGAAAAGCAAAAAAGAATCCCTGGAAGGGATTTGTTGAGTAACATAATCCTGTTCGATTTATCCTACATTCTCCGGCCGTTTGAGCGTTCAAATACCATCGGCTCTCGAACACCTCTAACACGAACGAAAGGATCTTGATCACACGGTGAATCAACTAATTCTTGGACAACGATCGCTAACATCTTCGTCTAAGCTCGTGTTCGTTCAAATTACCATTCAGCCGATTTAAAGAGACATCTGCGTCTTTTCTACGTGCCTTTAAAAATGACCGCGCGTGACTCAATCTACACCGTGAATGTTCAACACAACTTACAAATCACGGAGTTAATTGAAATTTTATGCAACCGTTACTCCACTTTCGGTTCTCCGAACTTCGACCATAAAAATTTGCTATTCGCACTCTTCGCTAAGAACCAGAAACTCTGCTCAGGACCGTTGGAAGCCTGAAACAAGTTCTTCGTCAATTTATTAAGAGAACTATTAATTGAACGGGATAGAATCAGAGTGGCATAAGTCTCATTTTCGGAAAATTCTAACTTGTATCTTGAATTGTAATCTATACACGGCAAAATCTTAAAGAAAACGAACGAGATAAATTGTAAAATTACTATGAATTAACTTCGCTCTAAATTATCCTAACGATAAATATCGCCTGTAAACAATGCACATGCTGGCAAACAATGATATTCATCGGTCTTCACAGTGAGGAAAATGTGACTTACACCTATTCCAACCCACTCAATTGTCAATCCCTGATTTCTAAATAGTTATTTTAATAGATTGCAAGGGACAACAGCGAAATAATATTCTTTCTATTTCATTATCTCATTTATCTTTCTTCTTTCATTTATCTCATTCCAATAAAAGATAAAAATAGGAGTTCGTGAAAACAGCGAAACCGGTTATCGTTGGTTAACCGAAATTGCTGTGCGTTTGGTTCGTTTTCGAGCATAATTAACACGTTATCATCGGGAAATTTCGAAAAATTTACTTTTATAAATTTGGTTATACATTTAAAAGAAACTTCTTCGAAATCCTAAGCATCCTCGCTATAAGCTTGTTATCGAAATCTCATCGTTAGCTTTGAAAATATTAAATATTTTTTTAAAATATCGACAATTTCAAACTTCACCGATTTTCTCTCGCAAGGCGTATAAATAAAGATCGATGCTGCGACCCGCAGATTGGTATTAACTTTATGTTCACCGAATAAGACCTGTTAAATTCTTTGATTAACACTAACCGTACCGGTCGCGTTGCCTTGTAAATTACAGTATTGAATTTACTTAAACATTTCCAAATTTTTATATTCATACATGTTCGGACCGGTGGACGATGTCTTTATAATTTCAACGATTGTAGAATAAGAATTGTCGAACCGGCCGTTCGATCGGCAACACAGTACGGTTGTTGTTTAACCCCTTAATGCACAATTTAAAAAAAAAAAACCGACCAAAAAAAATCAATTTTTTTTATCTAAGAAAATACATATTTGGACCTTAATTTCAATAAATATGTAAAAAAAATGCAAAAATTACTAAAAATTCAATAAAAATAGTGGATAAATAATTATAGTGAATATTGAATCGCATTGCAGATCGAATTTTGTACCCATCGTACTGTTTTTCAATTAATATAGGTAACATAACATAAGTTGCGACGCCGACCGTATATATACGGGTCTGCACATTTTGGCCGGTTTTGCACGCCCGTGTTAATACGTTTCTGCGCGTTAAGGGGTTAAAACTGAAACAAAACAGAAGAATAAAATATTGAACACGTCTTATTCGAGGCACAGCGATCGGTCACTGCACAGTAACCGGCACCGCAATTCTAATCGACTGTTTTTCATCTAGCAGCTTCTAAATATTGTCGCATAATCAGCGCTCTAAATGCAAAGCTGTACAGCCACATTCTACACCTACACCCGAGTCTGCAGCGGGGCATGGAATTCGTAACACGCGAAAGACAAAAATAATTAGTAGCCACGGGCGAGCGTCACCGGTGAGCTGTTTAACATTCGCAGGCATGGTCTCGCGGGCTCCGTTGACCAGGAACCGAGGGAAATCCATTTTCCGTCGGTCGTGCTCAAGGTTACTGGAAAGTTCAGCCCGGGGACGCGAAGGATTTACCGGAATCACGACTTTTCTCCACGGAGAATCGACATCGACGTCGCCGGCCGGGGTAAGCTTTCGACAGCAAAGCGGCGAAGCAGCGAGCAAAAAGGGCGTTCGAGCGGGCCGAGGGGCTTGGGGAACGGGGAGGGGGACTGGTGGGGGGTAATTAGAATAATTCGGGCCGCCGTGGTTCACGCCACACGGGCGAATTTGCATTTTAAATGAAGCAATGGCGTGTCAGAGGCCCCCGGTATGCCGCGCCTGCTCGGGAGAGCGGCAGAACTTTGTGTTTTATAAGGAACTTTAATATTTATCGCGTATATCCAAACCGAATAAAGCGTACACACGCATATACATACACACACGTACACGCACACACGTACGACCGGTCGGTTCCACACGTACGTACACGTACGTAGGTGTGTGCAGATCCGTATATCCGCGGCTGCCTTCTTTGGACGCAGTCACGGGCAGTTCGATCGTTCATGCCCGCATTCTTCCTTCCTTCTTTCATCGTGGCGACCGGCGAGAACCTCTCCCATCCGAGACCCCTAACGGTGGATCGTTATCGCGTAATTAGCGCCAACTGATTTTCGTGTTATGTCATCGACACGCGCACGACGCCCGCGATGATGCCAGCCGGTCATCGGGGACCGTAAGGGGGCGGACTCGGGGGTACCGGACACTTTCGAGAGGCGTTTTTGATTGGACGGTACGGTTACTTCGCGATTAACCCATTCACCCTTCTGGGCTTTGCTCGACGCCTTTCTTCTTGGTATGCGAGAGCTCTTCGCTCGCGCGTGCTTCCGCTCCCGGTGAGCCGAATTTGAACCAACGTCTAGATTACATCTAATTTATTACTCGCGGTCGCTTAACACCGCTGTTAACACCGTAAACATTTCTTTTCTATAGGCAAAGCTAACGTCCATTGCCAATTAACACTTTGCCCGAGGCGTTACTCGTGTGTGGGCGACGGAATTAGGTGGTTCGAATTGAAAATTAGTTTTCTCGCTAATTGCAAAAAAATGTGGGGATATTGTAGAAATAATTGATAATATTTAATTGTTTAATTTGTATCCGATGAAATAAGATACTTGTTTTTGAGGTCGTTGGAGTGGGAAAATGTTTTGTTTTATCGTTAACGATGCTGTAAGAATTTTCTTCTGGTGTAATGCACGGTAGATTAGTTTTGGCGTTAGTCTAAATTAGAGTATTGTCGGCTAATTGGATTTATCTTTGAAGGATAATTCCTTTTAATTCGAATGGCAACTTTGAGGTATCAGTAAAAATTGCAATATTACTTAAAATAGTCTGTGTAAGAGTAAATTCGTTTTTATTTAATCGATCGCTAAAAGTTTGTGACAATTGCAGGTATGCGATGTTGTACGAATGATTAGGATTAATTGCAGATACATGAAAAAGGTCATATAGAATGGAATATTATTGAACAAGCTTCGACTGCGAACGGACACCATCGCAATTAATATAATTATTACAAAAACTGCGATTAGGTCAAAGGAAACGCAAAGAACACGACAGGATTTAGTCAATATCTAGCGATTGACAGCTGTTTCATTGTGAGTACTGTGGAAAGTAAAAGTGACCATCACGAAATCATGTTTGAAAAACAGACGATAAAAAGCAATGGTTTTAAACATCGTGAATTGTGTAATTGTCGAGACAAAATATGTATCATTTTTATCGTTGGATAGTTAGCCAGTTTGTCATTTTTAATGAGACCAGGAGTACCGATAATTATAACTATTCTATTCCACGATACATTAATAGAACTATACTTTCTTTTTACTATCATGCATTCAGTTGAAATGTGTTGAAGCGGCCATACATTGAAATTTGATTGAGACAATTGTTTTGTAATTAAGAATTGCACCGAGACTTTTCGAACGAACGTTCAGTGGCTTCGATTAAGAGACAATGTCGCGTAAAATCTTTATTTATACGAGAGCAAATTGTTTCTCGTACAGAGAACGCGACACCTTACATTTTTCTTCGCACAGCTGCTCCATTCAAAGATCAAACAGCACGAACCAACAAAAAAACAGAAGAATCAAGCTATAGACACAAAGTTCTGTTGCAACAAAAAAAAACAATAAGAAAAAACGAAAGGAATCGCGCCGCAGCGACACTCGCAAGAATCGTCGGTTCCCGCGAAGCCTCGGAAATTCAATTTGCCATCGCAGGGCATAATTAATAACCAAAACGAAATCCACGTACCTGTTGACGTTTCTTGCGGCCGAAGACGATTCTTCAACGTCCCAAGCGCATCCGGAAGGGCCCTCGAATCGCCTTCCCTCCTCCCTCGAAAAAGCCGATTCTCTTCGTCAGCGGACAGTCACGCCTCCGCGTTCAATCTTCCATTCAACGGATCATAGTTCTCAGACCGTGGACACGTTCATTCTCGGCACTTGAACCACGGATTCGGCGCGGGTCACAGGAAGCGATTCCGCTTTCACGGCGAACAAGATGGATACGTGTCTTCCGCGCGGGTGTCAGGAGAAACCCGACTCTGTAATGATACACCTACGTCGCGGGAACGTTTCTCTCCGTGGTGGCGTGTTCGAGAGCTCACTGTCGAAAACTCCGCTGTTCAATTGTTCCCCTAATGACACGCGATCAACGCGATTCCGGCTCGTGGGACGCGCGCGGCAAATGTCATCTTCGAGGCGGTTCCCCTAGTTAGCATCAGGTCGCTTCCTTCCTGCTCATCGTTCCCGGCACTGTGACCTCGAATACGTCTACCCTCTATCCGCTGTCCGACACTTCGTTCATAGAGTCTACGATTCACAAACGCTCCTCCCCGTGCCAGCGAGTAAAGTTCTGTCATTCGAGGAACCGGGAGAACTGCGGTTGGAACACTCTCACGAACCGGGCCTCCTCGGAGGATGTGCTCGAGGTGGTCGCGTGACACTCGGGGTCCTCGGTTATCGTGGGATCGATTGCGAGCCGCGGAGTGTCCGGTGGTCGATCGAGATCGGTGGATCGATATATATATATCGTGTCGCTGTGGTCCCTGGACCGATCGGCTCGACTTGAAGGCGCGCCGGTTGCCGGAGCTCCAGTGGTACCGGTCTCGCTCGGCGTGTCTTCTCGGACCTCCTCCAGGCCCTAGGCACCTCGTGCGCGCGTGCAGCTACTCCTGGTAGCCGTCGGAGTGGCAGGTCCGCGCGACGAGGGCGAACGCGCTGGACGACTGCGGTTGGCTAGCGACCGTGCGGCGAGAAGGACGACGAGAATGACGGCGAGAAGGACGGCGGCTAGGAGGGAGGAAGAGCGAGGAAGAGCGAGGAAGAGCGAGGAAGAGCGAGGCGAAGCGTAGGAAAGAAGCGAGACTGGTGGAACAGAGGCCGACGCCGCGCGATACCTCTCGGTGTAGCTCTCCGCTTCGTGGGGACGTGGCAGTGAGAGGGGGAGGGCTCGACGAGGAACCCGAAGAGAAGGGAGGAGAAGGATGCCGCCGAAGGGCTCGAAGAGGAGGAGGACGGCGCGGCGCAGGGTAGCTGCGATGAGAAAAAGATGAGAGGAGAGACGATGACCAGGACGAAATGATGTGGACCATGCGGAGGACACGACGTGTCTGAAGTGGGCTCGGCCCGCGAACGGGGGTTACGGGCTTTGCTTTCGATTTGGCCCCCCCGTTCCCGGTGCCACGAGCGATCCACGCTTCGGTCGTGGTGTGCCTGTTCGTGCAGAAACGCCTACGTATGGGTGGAGGTGCGAGCGAAAGAGAACCGGCCCGCTTCCAGCCAGAACCGAGGCAGATGGAGAGCTTATAGAGAGGGGAGAAGGTGACGGTAGCGTGTTGTCGCGTGCTGAACCTTCGGTCGGGGCTGCCCCTATGGCCCGTGGCCCACCATGCCCACGGCCGTGGCCCCTGCGAACGGAATGCCTCGCTCTCTTCCTCCCTCTATCAACGGCGGCCTCTCGCTTCCTCTGTCACTCGGCCCCGGCGCTCTCGCTTCCTCCTCTGACAGCGGGCTCCCCGCGGACGAACGCTCCCTTTTCTAAGAGCGTTACCGCTTCCACGCGAACCATTCAGCCGATCGACGACCAAAGGGGGAAGCTGCCAGCGAGACCGAGAGGACGACACGGGGGTGGGCGGGCTGAACGACTCGACTACGGATGGATTTCCTCCTACTCGACCGGGACGATGATCCTCCACTCCTCCTCCCACGCGCCGGTTCCCATTTCCTGCCGCGACGGTGGGACCACCTTTCGCTGGATTCAGGGCGATTCGGTTTCTTTAGGGTAGGCAGCGAGCTTCTTGGTGGTTGCATCGGTGATCTGGTTCGTGGCGCGGTCGTGTCTAGACTCTAGATTCTCGGGTAGGGAGGACGGTCTTGGGTGGTCAACCTGGCAAACAGGGTTCGATTCGTGTCCTGGATGTAGAGCAATGATTCGCTGCCATATTTGCATTTAGGTCAGACTCGGAACAAGGTACAATGGGTGCTAACAGCGACAGAAAAAACTTCATCAGATTCGTCAATGCGAAACTCGCTTGCTCTTAGGCCAGTTTCAGGTGCAAAGTGTCTTGAGTGATAACCCTGGCAGAAAGGATTTGGTTTAAGTCGTCGATGTAGAATAATGATTCGATTCCACGTTGGCTCTTGAATTAGATAGGATGTTTTGTCTTGGGTGCTAATCTTGGAAGAAAAAAGCTTCGTCAGATTCGTCAACGCAAAACTCGCTTGCTCTTAGGTCAGTTTCAGGTGCAAAGTGTCCTGAGTGGAAACCTTGGCAGAAAGGATATGATTTGAGTCGTCGATGTAGAACAATGATTCGCTTCCACGTTCGCTCTTGAATTAGATAGGATGTTTTGTCTTGGGTGCTAATCTTGGAAGAAAAAAGCTTCGTCAGATTCGTCAACGCAAAACTCGCTTGCTCTTAGGTCAGTTTCAGGTGCAAAGTGTCCTGAGTGGAAACCTTGGCAGAAAGGATATGATTTGAGTCGTCGATGTAGAACAATGATTCGCTTCCACGTTCGCTCTTGAATTAGATAGGATGTTTTGTCTTGGGTGCTAATCTTGGAAGAAAAAAGCTTCGTCAGATTCGTCAATGTAAAATCATCATTCGCTTGCATATTAGCTATTAGGTTCGTTCAGGTGCAAGGTGTCTTAAGTGATAACCCTGGCAGAAAGGATTTGATTCGAGTCGTCGATGTAGAATAATGATTCACCTCCGTATCGGCTCAAGATGTCTTAGGTGCTAAATCTGGCAGAATATAGGGTTCATCGGGATTATCAACGTGAAGTAGTTATTCGCTTGCAAATTATGGCGCCTTGCAGCTGAGAAACGATTTCACGTCAAAACGGTTTCAACGACAACTTTTAATGGCAGTCTCAGATTTATTTGTTGATTCACGAGGGAGCTGCGAAGAAACGCGTAACTATTGCAACGATAAGTAGGTAATTTTTATATACAGTTGTAGAGTTTCGTAAAATATAATTTATTATTTAAGGGAAAATGTAATTGATATTGCTTGCTTGACAATCCGCGAAGAGTTCACATCCGGACGTTATTCAGCATTCGTCAAATTACTTGGTGGCAACTATAGATTACAATTGTACATTGTACAAAACCATTAAGCAGACTGTCAGTATACTCTTTAGAATGGAGTAACTATTCTTATTGGAGTAACTATAATTTTTTTAATCATCATACAGAAACTTCAAAGGATTAATTTACTACATCACGTGTAAGAAAGTTGTTTAGAAACCTAGAGTTGATAGGAATCGCAAAGAGAATAGTAAATAACTACTTTTTGCAATTTACCACTTGCTCTCCGTTTCGTTGATAAACTATAATTTCCCAGAAAATATCAATCTGGATGCATTACGTAGGCGCACAAAAAGAGGTCGAAGCGAAAGTGTTGAGAATATTCTAAAAAGATATCGATGTACGAGTAAATGCTCTCCTCTCGTTATCGGGTGAAAAATAGTGTATTCCTCACGGTCATAAAACGAAGACGTGAAATGCATTTATCACCGAGCTTATCTTTGAAGGCTGAAGCGTTATCGTCACACCTAGAGATGCTTCGACAGATTTTCCTGTAGAGTAGCGATCGCCGCATTTCGTCGGTGTTCGAGTTCGCGCGAAAGTTGAAAGATTAAGAAGAAAAATAAAACTTTGTACAAGTAGGATGTTCTCTCCCTGTGCAAGAATGTCGAGGCGCATCTGCAAGATTGCGGACAAAGTCGCTTCTTTTTTTCTGCGAAAGCAATGGTTAAAGGCATCCGCGGACCAATTAATTTGTCCCGAACAAGGAGAATTGCATTCGTGCGATCAGATGCGGTTGATTTCGACGGAGTTCTGCAGTTTTCTTAGTTCTCAACGGTACTTTGGGTACCCACCGCCGACACGATTTCGTGCGTGACAATTACGTCTTTTCCAACGGTCAGCGTATTGCGGCATGTCGAAAGTTTTTTTAACGCCCGCAAGAACTTCTATTCACGCTCACGCGACTCTGATTCGCCTTTTCCAGCGTGTTCGATGGAATTATAATTTTAGCGTGTTAAATCAACGATAACCACCCGCACGATTAAACCTGATTTCGAGGTCCGTAAGAGCCTACTTTCGCAGATTTATTGCGGAATTAAGGCCGCTCGATTCCGTCGATTATCTTGGAACGCTGAAATGGGGGTTTGTAACGAGTGTGTTTTGTGATCTTACGATTTTAGAAAGCGGTCCACACGCATCGAGACGATTCCCTGAATGCCGGATCAACATTTGAGATCGAGGCCCGTCGAGGAAATGAAATCTATCGCCGCTCTGGCTGCTTCTTGCCCAAGTTGTTGAACTATGTCGATCACGTCGACTCTTATGGACTGTAATAAAACTAACGAAGTATTGGACAAGGTTGCATTAACACTAGATTTACGGAGCACTAAAAGCGGCGGTTTCATGTTAGTTTATAAAAGTAACAATGAGACGTTTATTCGGATTTTTAACGAGCGTTATTGTAATGTTTGCCGCGAGCAACGCATCTGCCGAATAAATAACTCGTAAATGTATCTTTACAATCTGAATAATAGTAAATCACAAAATTAGTGACCCGTCGTTTTCACGGGATCCGTAAAGCTAGTGTTAATTACATATACCTTCACGTATTCGTTCCTTTAACACTAGAATTTTACCAAACCAGGCAAAATGATTCTGGTCCCTGATCTTTTCATTTACAGTTTCCGATGTTATAAAAATATTTCTAGGAAAAATTTGTAGGTACACCTCTTTGTTGAAGTATACATTATAGCATAAATCATAGGAAATTTAAATAAATCCAGTCTCGGTATTTTTATAAAACGATTATCGCGTTTATGGCTCGGCAATTCTAGCGTTAATTTTAAATATGCAACGATTATAGTAATTTTTTTCCGATATTCCTGTGTAATGTGCGTTTGTTTGGTTTAAGTTCATTTAGCAAGCATTAGACTATGGAATAAATCACGGAACTTACTACTTACTACTTAACTTAATTATTTATTTGAATTTTTGTTTTTACTTTCAATTTCAGTAATTTATTTACTGTTTACAGTAACTCAACCTAATTTCCGCTCGATACATTAGTTGCCCTGCACAGTAGGCGAATCTATTTTTTTACACGATGCGTTGGTTACTGTGCTACTTATCACGGTATAGGCCTACATAACCTCAAATCTTAAATCATTTCTGTCGCATCTTTAAAGAGGAGAAATGTAAATATGAAAATTTTTGTTAAAAGTCATCTCTAATGTGAACTTTTAAATGACTTGTTATTACATCAATCGTGGCTCAGTATTCAAGGAAATGGAGCACAGTAACTGAAACACAGTATTCAAGGAGATGGAGCACAGTAACTGAAACACAATAATTGATCTTTATAGATCATAAACAGACAGAAAATTTTTTCAGACAATCTCCAGAACTGTTTTCTTCTTTCTCTCAATATTCAAAGGAGATTTGATACTTGTGTCATGGGAACATTTCTATCGACAAAAGAAACTTAAAAATTTACCATTAAGCCCTTAAAAAATGTCGTTTACATCGATGAAGACGTGTTTAGCAGCGAAAGCTCCCGAAGTCCGTGAACAGGACGCAGTAATTGACTCGCTCACCCCGTCTTCGACAAGCCTAAGATTTTCACGAGACACCGGCATTTTAGAAAACGACGATATCGCGTCGCCGTAATGTTCCGTGGCATCGTCGTGCTCGTCCAAAACGAAGCACAGATCAAACTTAACCGGCAGACAGCGCCGTTCTTACGCAACGCCAGAAAAACAACGATCGCGTTACAAAGAACGGTCTCGGGCTCGTGTAAAATCGCGGCCCTCCCGAGAAAACGAGCCGAAAGTGGGAGAGTCCGATGGTTGTGTAATGACGCTTCTTTCTCTGAGGAAGATGTAATCATTTCGGTCGTGGCACGCGAGTAATCCTCGGCGCGGATCCGAGGCGTTCCGGCCGCGTTTCCTCGAAAATCGAAGAAGCGCGCGCGCGAATTCTCGCCTGTCGCGCTCCCTTACATACCAGTCCTTGGAGCCATTTTGTGGATTCTTGCGCAACAGAGCATCCGCTGGCT